ATATTACTTTTGAAGGCTTGAAACATGCGACTGCACTCTCGATTACTATTGCCCTCTCGTTGCTGTGCTTATCCTAATTGTAATCGTGAAATCTTGGAGCAAACGTGCGAAGTTGTAATGCGGAAATTGACTTATTCTGGAATATTTCCACAGATTCCTAGCCGTTCTATCAAAGATTGATTGGTTGATTGTGTTGCTCGAAAATTCTAGCAACGTTTTGTGCTGAAATACCCCCGTCACACCGAGGAGCGCGGTGCCACTACGGTTTTTGGTCAAAACCGCCATCACCGTAGTGACACCGGCAGTAGTTTTGCATAGTTTTCCCCTACCCGTCAATACCCCCGTCACACGGAGGTGCGGTGCCACTGCGGTGCTGTACGGCATAAACCGCAGTGGCACCGCCATGATCGCCGTGGGTCCGCAGTGGTTCCGTCATTGATCGCCGTAGCACCGCGGAAAACTGTCAAAACCGCGGACCTTCGCGAGTGCACGGCGGTTGTACTGCGGAGGCACGGCGGTGATAGAGGTCCTACTGGCGGTCCTTGTACGGTGCCACGGCGGTCATGGCGGTGCATGCCGCGGCGATCCCACTGCGGATTGGCCCAACCCGCGGTGGCACTGCGGAAGTTTTGAACATGTTCAAAGTTTACGCCGTGCCACCGCGAAGGTCCGCGGTTTTGACAGTTTTCCGCGGTGCTACGGCGATCAATGACGGAACCACTGCGGAACCACGGCGATCATGGCGGTGCCACTGCGGTTTATGCCGTACAAGCACCGCAGTGGCACCGCACCTCCGGGTGTGACGGGGGTATTACATTACTCATGCCCGGAATGCCATCACAGGTTTTCTAATCATGCATTAGCATAAAAATGGAGAGGGCACCCAAAAACAACCACCCTTCAAAATGGAAAAACTTGCGATTAAGGTTAAATGTTACACAAAGATGTATTTTCAGGTTTGCGTTGAAAACTTACTTTTGCATGGGCCCTTTGAATACGGTAAGTGTTTGGACAGACATACGCAAGAAAACAAATAACGCAAGAGAAGTGTTCCCGATGGTTGCCAAACATACGTGTCCCGATGTCTTGCACGTCAAAAAATAACGTAAAGATACCCTTGATCAAACGTTTAAACAAGTAGACAATATCAACAGTGAAAAGTAAATTATCTTAGTCACTTTCTATTAATTATTTTCGTTACATCTTGTTTCCCTCATATCAGTTAATACGTAACATTGTAAATTTTACAGTCATCAAGATTTTTTTTTGGGGGGGGGAATGAACCTCGGAGGAAAATAAGAAAAAATATCGATTAAAACATCTTATTAATTTGAATAACATACGATGACAGCGATTGCCCATTAACGAAAAAGAAACGAAAAGCACGTTTATACGTTAAAAGCGCACAGATGTTCGCTAATTTGAATGCGTCAACCGTCAAAAGGTTGCAAAGACTTAATTTAAGACTGCTACAAGTTTATGTCTTGAATGCACCAAAACGAAATAGGCTGCCCGAAAACGAACACGAACATTCAGAGCAAAATCTGGCTGCCTCATGATGAAATTGAATGAACCCAAAATGAAAAAGAACCCCAATTTGACTGACCACATGTGCAAAACTCGCGCGAATTGAATGGCTGATAATGAAACTGATAAGAAGAAACCGGAAATTCGCCGGCAAACCTATATTATTATTATTTGAGAGAAGCCTATAATAGCGCTCCTCGTGTGTCGACCACGCGACCACACACGTGCCAGCCGTGTGGTTGCGAAGGCCTTAGTGTCGCCTTTGTTGGCACAATGTTAATCCGATGAAATCCGACGCTATTAACAGAGCAGTGAAATTCATGCACCCCCCAAAAACATGGACTTTTGAACGTTGTGTTTCTCAGAAAATATGCCCAGTATGATTAAAATGTTCCAATTATAACGGAAGAAGAAATTCTAACCTTCACGTCAGTGACAAAAATCGCCGTCATCGATGCCGAAACGTCAATACTGGTTACTGGTATAGCTGACCTTAAAGTCGGGACAAAATCGTTCGAAAACGTTCCCAAATCTATATGTATTTTATCTCAATTCCTAGGAATCCCTCAAGTTTGTTATTTCACGAGTAGTTGAGCACTTATATCATAAAAGTATATTTCGAATTTCAGCTTAATCTGTTGTTGCAAACGCTTGTGTTATACCTTAAACTATCTCCAAGGTTAATTTCGACGAGGTTTTTTAGCAGACCAAGTTAATAACTCGCGTGCAGGGTTCTCAGTTTGGCTGATTTGAGGCAACAATGACGAAGCGCGTATTAGCATATTCATTAGCGTCACTCGGCGTGACTTCGCGTGGGTCTCGGTATCAACCAATGGAAGCCGGCAAAAAGGGTGATATTTATTTATTAATGGACTCGTGAAGGAGGCTATTCTGCAATTTTTTACAGCACACCATAATGGATAGGAACCTTATTAATATTCGTGAGGCTTGAAAAGATTGACAGATATTGCAAACACCAGATATACAACTTTTAAAAATGCACGTAGCCAACAGGCCTATTTTTCCAATTTCAACGACTAAAAGTACTGAACATATTAAACGATTTTTAGCACATTATTGGATCATTATAATGGAAACAACCCTGAAAGTTGCACGAAGATACCGTCTTCCAACAAGAGGAAATTAATTTTCAAAGATTTCGCCCGCCAACGTGAACATCTCAGTGAGGATGTTGTTGCATTCAACTTGAAAATAAAGTGTTACGTAACCTTTTAAGAAATTGTCCTTCACAACCACACGGCTGTATTATCGCGTATCTACCGCGTGGCACGTGCTCAAAGTATACTTAAGCGAAATTCTATTGGTGGTCTTTATCACGAGAAGCACGTGTCAAAGTACTTGTGAACAACACGTTATGGAAAAGCATTCAATACCGATATTACTTCAACAATTCTTTAGTAGATACATTTTCAATATAATTTTGAAAATAAAAGAATTTGTTCTTAATTTGTTTTCCTCTTTATATTTATATGTCAGGTTATGTTTATTTACAAATTATTATTAGGGAATAAATGTGTGCTCGAGAGGTGTTTAATCACTCTGTTTAAGACCGCTTAGAGTCTGGGTGCTGATAATTACCCGAGCCGGAGGCGAGGGTAAATTATCAGCACCCAGACTCTTAGCGGTCTTAAACAGATGATTAATACCGACCGAGCACACATTTATTCCCATTCATAAATACCTTTCGGTCAAAAAATATAATATTTCGGTCAAAAAATCCCGATTTTTGTTCAACAAGTTCACTTCAGTGCTTTTGAAACATCCCTCTAGCTATAATGGAGTGTTCAGCTGGCAATAAGATGTAACAACCTTTTATGGAGATTGACGCTCGCGCGGGGCGTTGCGTTTTGAATTTAGAACTATAAAATTCTGACTCACTGGTAGTGTTGCGCATGCCTAGCCTACGTGAGGACTGAGAACGTTTCAACCATAAACGGCAAGAGGCACTGGATTTTTAGGAGTCCACATTTTATGTGACACTGGAAAAGGTGTTTAGACCAGCTAGCCATGTCTTTATCATCCGTTTTAAGACCGGCCACGTGACGGGCTCTCGACCAATAGGAATGGCTAAACTGTCTGAGGTATTTATGAATATTTTGGGTTTTTTTTCATTTATTTCATTAGAAACGTCTTTTAAATAGATAATTCAAATCTGCACATTAGGCCAAAAAAAAAAAGTCTCCGGTTTCTGGTATGCGCGCGCGTCGCCGTAGCCATGGCGCGTCGGCAAAATGAAAAAGTTTTTTTTTCAATACAAGATGAGGTCTCAAACCGCCAAACTCACTGGTTTGACTGGAATCCTGCTGCTGCACAATTTTAACGTGTTTTAGATGGGGTTATGATCGAGAATAAGCTTTATGTGCCTCTCTGGACTCCCATATTTGCACTAAGTTTAGTTGGCACCATTTGGCAGTCATCAGCCGACATTTGAAGCCAAAAAAAAAAAAAAAAAACAGTAAAAAAAAGCCGCGTCCGCCGCATTTTGGGGCAGCTCATACCAGAAACCGAGACATTTGCAAAGCCGCAAAAAAAAAAAAAAAAAAACCAGGTAAAAAAAAAAAGCCGCGTCCGCCGCACCACTTTTGGGGCAAGCTCCATACCAGAAACCGGAGACTTTTTTTTTTTGGCCTTAGTGAATTTTTGTAAACTTTTCGGTAAATCTCAACACATCACGATAAAAGAATTTATGAAAAACTCGTTTAATATTTACTACAGGAAATCTGAGATAAAAAGTGATATATTTGAAAGCATGGAAATTTACTTTTCACAAAAAGAAAATCAACTGTTGAATTTAGAAACTGCTGTGATTTCAATGTATTAATTTCTACAATCACGTGCGCATGAGAAAAAGACAGAAGAATACTGCATTGCTAAATTGACACGACGGGGGATCACGACATCAGGATGTGACGAAGCCAGGGCGGATCCGGAATTTTCGCCGGGGGTGGGGGGGGGAATGGGGGTCATCAGCAAAACAATTTTGAAATGTAGACAGGTTTTTTTCTCCGACACTTGGCCTCCGAAAATCAATAAGTGGCCGGTACCATTAATGGGAGCGCTGTTCAAATCGGACGATTGTTACAGAATAGTATACAATACCCCCTAACCAAGCTCGCTCCGTCCGTATTTTGGGCACAGGCCGACATTATTACCAGTTTTCTTTTTGGGGTGTCAGAGCAGGGGGGGGGGCATTATTTTGAAAGAATTTCTATGAAACCAAAATTGACAGAACTGGCGGGGGTTTTGATCCCCGCGCCTGGATCCGCGCCTGCGAAGCAGTTATACTTTCGCACAAAACTTTTGATTATCAGGATATGGTTTAAATTCATCAAAGCAAACCATTCCTTTGGGGGGGGGTGGCGCAATTTCAGCTGTTTGAATAGCACACCTTTATGCCTCAAGTATGTACCCCTAGCGCGCTATCTAGAACAGGTTGAGCGATCCCGACACGCTTAGATCCAGTGATCGTCAGTCTGGTCCCTGTCTGCTGCCCTTCGTTTCACCGCCGTTCGCATGATTGGCCCGAGGATGACATGACCAGCACGTTTACCCACGTGCATGCCGAGGTCCTTCCCATGACGCACCACCTCCGTCACATCTTGATCGTCGTTCAGGATCTGGTCGCCAGTCACGATGTACATGCGATCGGCGTTGATGTTCTTGGCGTCGAGACAGGATCTGCTTGAGCTGCTGCACCGTGGCACATGCTCAACATCCAGGGTGATGTCGGTGTTTTGGCGTGCATCTTGACGTTGAGGGCGCAGCTGACATGCAAACAGCGCCCTCTTCGTGTTGTAATGGGCCAGGGTGCGGTGATCCTCCAGCTGCTTGCCTCGGTACGAAATCTGTATAAAATCCCACGAAAGAGCAACAGTAAATCTCTCGACATTTTATGAGAGTTCTGACGAGGGACAGTGTTCACTGAGCGAGAGAGACATGCCTCTGCTAGTCCTAAGACTAAATCAACGTTGGTGAATGACAGTTAAACAGAGTTGAAAGTCAATCACTAGTTAGATCAAGTCAGGTCACAAAGTAACATGGGTGACAGAGTGACATAAATTATTGTGAATTTACAACACTCCGCTCTTTGCAGTTAATTATTGCAATGTAATATAGATGCCTCGGCAAGTTTATGTTTTACTCCAGTAATTTAAGCCTTTTCCCGCCTTAAACCTTTATGACCCGGTGCGATTCCCGCCTACATAACATGGATTGTCAGTCCCTTCTTGACATCGTTAAAGGACCTCTGATATTACAGTGATTAGATGCACGAATCGCCAGTTGGGAAGAAAAGCAGAACGCATTTTCGAAAAGACGAAAAAACACGACTCTTTCACGTCGTCATTCTGTGTAGGTTGCCAAGGCATTTCGAAAGAATCGATTCACCAGGTCTTTTCTTGCCAAGGCTGCTCTCGATACATCTTGCTCATACCTTCAGGTTATCAAGCGGTAGTTTGGTCTTCTCGAAGATGTTAGCTTTGATGTTTGCGATGGTGTTGATCTCATCAGCTGTGATCGTCATCTGTTGGCTGCTAGACATCTCTGCAATCACGCTGATCGAAGCCTCAGGTCCATTGTGGCATTCTTACGGATCGAGTAGAGCTGGAGAGGGGCGTGGTTCTCCAGGAGCACCTCCTTGTAAGACAGGAGCTGCTGATGGGGCGGTGGCCGTGTACTTGTAGATGCGAGCCTTGGCCAAAGCTACGGTGTCGTCTTGCGAGAACTCAATAGTGTGGGTTGGGCCGTTGCAGCTCCGTACCTGGTTGAAAAAAAGTAACTTATCAATGCTTGTGCACGGACCTTGCACTCATTTTTAATTGTACACTCTAGTTTATCATGGTATCTGGAAACATCAATGGAAAAAATATTTAACAGTCTTCTTCATGTTTATATAGTTGATATCTATTGCGGGAAGTAATGCGAATGTAGATTTTGGCAGATTTTGCATCTGATTTTTTTTTCTGGGGGGACCATTTGGACTAAAAAAAGAAAGTATTTTGAGGAAGTTTAATACCTTGAGTTTGATAATGTCTCGTTCCTTCAGCTGAGGTGTATTAAGTTTCAGTTCAATCTTCTGTAACCTCCTGGGTACCGCTGCTTGGTAGTGTCATGCTATCGTCAAGGTGCTGCCCATTCAGGTACACGCTCTGCCAGGTTGCTGGTACTCCTTCCTCAGTCTCCAAGATGTTTTTGAAAGCTGCCACAGTCTGTATCCAGCAACCTTCATCTCGAAAGACGACTTGCTGCCGCGTTTGGCGTAACGGGCTCCTTGAGCATCACCTCGTAGCCGAACATCTCGGGCTCCGGGTCAGCTTCGAGTGGGGGCTGATGGCGTCACTCAGAGGCACCGAGTCGACCTCGGTGCGCTGGTCGTCGTTATCACCGACAGCTTCCTCATCATCAACAGCTTCTGCCTCTCGGCGAGCTCTCTCGGCTAACAGCTGCTGTTTCTTTAACTCCACCTCCCGGCGCTGCTGCTCTACTTCGATCCAGCTCAGGAGCTCCTCACGTTTTCTTCAGCTCTCCGTCTTTCTTGTCCAGCTCCTCCATCCGACCCGCCATCTCCTCCAGTTTCTTTTGAGAGGGGAAATTGAAGTGAAAGTACTCGGCTTCCCGGTTAAGTATCTCCTTGTCCCGACGTATCTGCTCAACCTCGATCATCCCTCAGGGCACGTTCCATTCTCTCCTGCGCTTGCAGACGGCAGTCTAAGACATCTTGAAGGCTGTCCAGTTCCTTTCTTCTTGAGTTGACCTCCTCTTCTTTCTGGCGAAGCTCTTCTTCTTTGATTTCTGCTCCAGAAGTCATGTTGCTCAGCTCCTGAGATT